ATTCTGTGATTCTGTGATTCTGTGATTCTGTTCAGCCCAATCCACGGCAGCTCGGTGCCCCTGCCTCCACCCGTACCCGGGGTGTGCTGCACTGTACTGATCCCTTTCACTGCTGTACTTCACAAGCATAATTATCCTGCACGTAAATGCAAATGCACAGCGACGCTGTACCCTGGCTTCATTCTGAAAAACACAAGAACAGACTCCTGCAAAAATACACCAGCTGCTCTCATCTTTTTTAATGGCCTAAAGGAAGCGTGCGATGGCTGCTAGTACACGCTGTCGGGACCCCAGGCTTTTTGCAACAGAACGGCACAAAGCTGCAAAATATGCCAAAGGGAATCCTGAAAATTGTGCCCAGCAAGGAGAGCTCCTACTCAACTAAGCAGGAAAATCTGTAACAACCAGAGCTTCACGATCCTGCATGTGCTCTTCCTCTTTTTGCTAGACATATTTGATATAAAAAAATTCCTCCTCTCTCTGTTTCCCACCTCAAGTCACTTTTAGGAGTGGATAAAGCATGGAAGATAGAGTAAGGCAAAGCCATTAAATCCTACTGCAACTGCTCTCAGGGACAAAAGACAGGATTTGAAATTCAAACAATTTCTGCGAACTGTGACAGAAGTAACGGTGGGTTTCATGGTACCATGAGGGGAAGATCATACAAAATCCCACCATACGTGGTACCGATGCTTCTCACGTAACCAGCGCTGCAATGGTTTTGATTTGTTCTGACGAGGACACCGTGGACACAGTTCCATCCCTGGAAACAACCCAGCAGGCCTCAGCAGCATTTTTCTGTGTCCTGGCCTGGTGCAGCTCCTTGGTGTTTCTCAAACACCACAGAGACCTGAGCGACGGCGTGAGCGACGGCGTGAGCGATGGCATCCTGCAGCACGCTCTGGGCACAGCGGCACGGGCTGGCATGAGCTCTCGCCTTACACGGGGCACCTCACGGGACAACATGAGGCTGAGAAACAGCCGTGGGGGATCTACAGCTGTGCTGGCTGCGAAGTATTTCGTGGTCCAGTAAAGGCAGATGCCAAAATAAGCCTCTTCGACAAGCATCATGGGTCACAGCAGGCATGTATTTTGAGAGGTATTAAATATTTCTCATATTTTCAAAGTCACAGGTGGAGCGGAACACTCAAAACACTGCCCACTGAATACATATAAGTGGCCCAAATTATTACTAGTGGATTTCCAGACACAGGAGGGATGGTGACCTGCCAGGCCCAATGCCAAACGTGTCTGTGTCATGTCAAACAGCTGCAGGTGACACCACACTCATCCAGCTTCACATCAGCTCTTCTCGTTTTACTCCATGAAAAAACAACTGAATTCTGAGAGAGCTAGGGCATGCTGCGTGGGAATCAGGGGCAGCCCACTTCAGCAGAGCCAGGAGGCTGAAGAAGCCCCCGGGCTGAGCCACATGAACCTTCATCAGGGAAGTTATTCGTTATTTTGGGCCCTTTGTTGTAACTAAAGAAAGGGTTACTACTTAAGTCTGACACAAAATTTAAAATGAAGTCAGGATAATGAGAACAGAAGCTGTATAAAGGCTCACAGTTCTGCCTTGGCACTACAACAACTGAGAACATTATGACTTGAGCTCTGAGAAAAACAAGGGAAACTAAGATGTCTGGAACAACCACGGGAAGTGTGCTTCAGGATCAGGGTGTATTGCTTTACCTAGCTTCCATCAGACACCCAGTGGTATCTCATTGAAACCTGCTGTAGTGACAACAGTGTCACAAAATTTAAGTCAGAAACATTTTCTGGCTCTTGCTTAGGAAAAAGAAGCTTATGCTATATCAACTGTTAGAAGCACGTTATGTCACACTTCAACCAACCTCTTCTCGGTCCACCTCCTCGCCATCAACATTTAGCTCCGACAGATCCGCCGCAAGCTTCCCATCCACTTCACCCAGCCACACGTCCTCGCTCTCTTCGCTTCTCCACTTTGTGACATTGAACTCCGCCCTGCCGGGCAGCGGGCTCGCGAGGCGGGCTATGGGGGGGACGGGTCTGGCCCCGTTCAGGCCCCTGCGGGAGGCTGGGTGTCGCACCAGGGTGGGCTTCAGCTGCAGAGCAGAATGCTTCTCCTGCAGATCCTCCCCTGAAGAAGACGGGAGCAGAGGTCAGTTCTTGGGGGGGGTGGCAGGAACACAGCGCTCACCAGAACAAACTTCGTGTCTCGCTTCTGTGTCGCACCAGAAAACTCCTTTTACAATGAAGTGACTGTTAAAAAACACACTTCTGCATGCAATTTTATTTACTAGCATAAATACAATTCAAGGACATTTTGTTTGTCTGAGTATGAGCAAATTTGAATAAAACCAGTAAGAACATAAAAACAGCCGTCTGGAGTCGGACGAAGGGCTGAGGCAGTTCCTCAGCCAGAGGTCTGACCCGAGCCGACCCACCGTCCTGGCACACACGGCCTTTATCGATAAACCCCTGTTTTTGGCATCCTCAGCAGCCCACAGCAGTCGGCTCCACCATGTGCATTAAAAAAGTACCTCCTTTGATGAAAACCTGACGTCACCGACCCGCTTCCTCGGCTCCTCCGTGTGTGCCTGTATACAGGTGTTCACGCGGACAAATACCGACACACACGCACAGATGAGAGCAAGCTTCTCACCTGAACAAGAGCAGACAGTGATTCCCTATCTAACTTGATTTTTATACCATTCACAATTTGAAAAACTTTCAATATTCCTTCTCCAACATCAATTTTCCAGATGTGCCAAACGCTCGTTCCTGAATCCGTCCTCACGCCCATCACTCAGTAGCTAATTTTACAAAATCATTAGCGTGTTACCAGACTTGCCCCGGCGCATGGTATTTTCTATTACCTCCTGACTCTCCCTTTTCCACCTCCCTGCGTTTCAAGCTCAGTTACCAACCTCCTCTACTTTCAGTATCTCCTTCTTTTAAAAAGTATAAATTAGTGTTTCATGCGTGTACGCACCAACACATACTTAGTACCTTTAAAAAGTACTTAACTTTCTTAATTAAGGAAAAAAGAAGACTGGTGCCCTAACAAACTCTCCTGTAAGCTGCTATAACAGCAACAAAGTTATTCTAAAGAAACAGAAAAAAACTGAAATGCATACGGGTAACACAGAGAAAATCAGCAAGTGATGAACACACATCTGCAGGACAAAATTGCATGCATTCCAGGGACAGGTGACTTCCAAAGAATTAATTAAGAAATTTTCTACATATGTGCAAAAAAAAGTGTCTCAACGAAGATGACATTTAAAACAAAGTTCTTTAAATCTGCAGAATTGTAGGTGGAGGCTGTTCCTTGGCTTACAGAATGCATGCCTCATGAGGGACTGAGAATAAACAGATACTAAAGCTATTTTTAACCTAAAATAAGATTGCCTTTAGTACGTATTTGAAGGAAATCAGCTAAATTGTTTAAGCAATTGTAATTAAATAAACTTAAAACTATTTCAGGTCAACAAATTTGTACATGAGGTCTCCAAAGAGAGAGGAAATCAGATGCCAAAAAGCAGCCTCTGCCATTAGCTGTCAGCGTAAACTGGGATGAAATCGGCACAGACTCCACTCATTAGAGAGGGAGCTGTTTGTAACCAGGTTTTAAAGAGCTATTCTGAGTGTGGGAAATTCGATACATAAGACTCCAAGGGCGAATAAAGACGCAAAAAGTCGAAATGGAATGAGTAGAATTTTCTTGCACATGTATTAGAGTGTTAAAAGTAACATTTATTTCTGTATTGGCTTTCTTTAAAAGTGCTAGATGCTGGGGTTTGCTTTTATTTTAGGTTGAAGGCAAACTTTTCCCATATACATTGCTGATAAGAAAAGCAGAGCTGGTCCTTACTATGCTTTATCTCACATGTTTGAAAGACAAAAGGAACAAAACATGCCAGTATTTGAAACCACCAAAATACAGAGACTTCACTTTCTAAAAGAAGCCTCCAGCGATGCGACCAGACCAGTGCAGCTATCAAACCCGCACGTTTCTAATCGCAATCAGGGCACTGCGTAATTCCCCACTGACCTGCCACTGTAGGTTCTCTGACCACTGCTTGAAGTCACTCCAGATGCAAACCCAAAATCCATTTGCATTATACTGACAACACTCCTACCTGTATTGTCTCCTGACATCCGACCGAGAAACTGCTTCTGTGAACCAGGCTTAGGCAGTCCTTCAAAGCTTTTCAGAGGCCAGGAGTTGGAGAAGTTCCTGGTATTATCCTGCGACTTCTTTGGGGAGCCAGCGGGAGGGGAGACGTGCTTTGGGCTGCTCCTGGGTGATGACAGCGGGTAGGACGGCAGAATGAAGGTGCCCTGGCTTGCACTCAGACCTTGCCAGGCCGCCGTATGCTCTGCTTGATTGCAAAAACTTCTCGGGGTCTTGCCAGAAAAATTTAGGCTGGCACAAACTGAGAAAAGAAAAAGAGAATCGTGTTTGTGGTGATTAGCCTCTCTGACAGCTCTTAAAACAATGACTTACAATGAAATAATCCACCCTCTAGACAGTCATAACTGAAGGTCAGCGTTTTGCCCAAGCAAACACACAAATCAGCGAACTCCATTTTGCAAATTGCATTGTCCCTCAAACCATCAATTCCCTTCTTCTGCAGTTGATCACGAGTTTGAGCTTAAGCTCTTTTGCAGTCATGTTTTGAAGAACTATATTTAAAAAAACAAATGATGCAAGTAGATTGAACATGGTTCTGTTGCTTGCAGCTCTCTATTGCAAGCCTGCATAGCATAACATTCGCAAACACCACTCTCAAAACTCAGCGATACAAGAGTACAAATAAAGCACAAATGTTATAAATTCTACTTACTTAAAAAAAAAAAAATAGTCCAAAAATTATTTTTTCAGGACTGGACTAGATGACCCACAGAGGTCCCTTCCAACCTCTACTATTCCGTGATTCTGTGATTCCCAGAAACCAGCATGTCAAAAACGGAACGTAGTTTTTGAACTAGACTGCTGAATTGTTTCCCATGAGAAGCAGACGCATGTTCCCCACATGCACTCAGGCTTTGAACCATGCAAGTGGAAAAGAGGACAAGTTTTAAAAAAGCTCCTGACAGCCTCTGGAAGGATCACCGTAAGCTGGGCCACCTCAGCAACCCTGATGAGAGAACGGCCCCACAGCCAATTCCACGGGCATAACTGGGAGAATGGGAAAGCAGAGAACGAAAGGGAGAACGAGTGACAACGTGAGTCAGGCTCAGAGAACCTATTAACAGTCTGTGTCACCCCAAAGAAAACCATTCAACTGAGCCTTTAATTATAGCATAAAAAAAGCCCTTTACAAATCAGATAGGTCCAAGGTCTCTGTCTCCTGCTCCTGCTGCTTTCTGAGGCTGCAGCACCCCGGTGCTCCCCAGGAATCCCAGGGCAGCAAAACTGAGACAACCAAGTCAGGCGTGGGTTGAGCCACCAGGGAAGGGCTCAAGGAACAGTAATATCTGGCACAATAACTATTTGCAGAGAAATAAATCAGCAAGTGTGGGCAAAGTACCTGACAGTCTTCTTAAGACTGAGGCCAAGAGAAGAGAACACTGACTTTGTAGTTACAGAGGCAAAAACCAGAGGACATTTCTCCTTTCTTTCCATAGGCCTGAGAAAAACACATCATCTAGAGCCCATAATTGGCCAGAAGGAAACCGAGTAAACGAAGTGCCTGCGCTTCTTCCAAGAAGGCCGTCGGCTCTGTCCCTTGTCCAACACATCTGGACTACTCAATGCATCTCTGTCCAGAGATTTCCTATCATTGCCATCTCTTCCTCTGGACAGCAAGTGTATTCCTTCACTAAATGCACACCTGGCATTTTTATTATTATTACTACTTATGAACAGACAAGTTTATATGTGTTACAGGTCCCGATTCATCTCGGCCTCCAGCTCTGGGGTTGAGGTGCACTCAATCACATCCCTAGCCTCACTTCTGCAAGGAGCAGCAACAGCTATCTGTCTCGTAAAAGCTGTACAGAGACCACCAGAAGCTAAAGCAATGAGAATGAAAAGCTTTACGTGCACCAAGACGGCGTCTCCACAGCACGCTGAGGCCGCTCGCCCCGGGCTGTCGTGCCCAGCAGCCAGGGGCAGCCCATGCCTCCTCCTGCACGCTCCTGCCGAGACACCTCGGCTGCCCTCCGCGCCGTCGACGGGCCCAAAGGGGGAAGCTAAGCTGTCTCAGCGGGGCAAGGCTCCGACCTGGCCCTCGCTGTTGGACCAGCTGGACTATCTGACCTGTGCCATTAACAGAACTCTAAAAATAAAATTTAAAAAAATATGTTCAGATTCTGTGACAGCATCGCTTTTTATATAGCCCACATGTACGGTCAGACACCAAAGGTGTGGGCTGCACAATCAATAACCCCAAATGAAAAGCACTACAGAGGAGGGAGGCACAAACACCTCTGAACAGGGACCGAACAACGCTTTAGTAACAGTTTGCATTTCTTAAAGCAGCATAAAGACACTTTTTCGAAGTCACATGCACTGTTAGAACCCACCTACCTTTGTCCTGCTGACAGTTATTTAATCCTAAAAATTGTAAATCGGAGTCCACGCTACCGCTCCTCCCACGGGTCTGTGTGTATCCAAGAGTTCCACATTTCCCTGAAATCTGTGGCTGGTGAGAGCCCATCGCACCTGTCCAAAGAAAAACACAAATAACTAGATAAATACTTGACATTCGGTATTCAGTGAAAAGTAGACAGGAATAATTAATAGTGAATTACGACTCTGTCTAACTTTCAGTGTAAAATATAACTACTTTGAAAGCATTTAGTTCAAGAGTTTCCAAGCAACCTCTTCATACTGTTCACAGGCACACACTGGAAAAACGGCTGGCCACTCTTCCAGGGCACTTTTCCAGCTGAGAACTGTAGGGGCTCAAAAGAAAAACCCCGAACAGCCCCCTCTTTGAATACACAACAATAAAGGGAAGACAACACCTTAAAACCCCCAAATGCAGTGAGCTGCTTTCGAGTGAGGTCACTCCCAGCACAGCAGTGAGCAAAGTTTGCATGCCACACATGTCTGTGCTCCTCGGACAAAGCCAGGAACACAACCTGCTGCCAAGTGCAGAGAATAAATCAGGTCTGGTCTTGCCCGGTCTTTTCATGTGCTTTTGGCTATTAAAAGACAAATCACTGAGTCTACGCTGCTGTAAATTAAGTGGAGCACTATGCCTACACTCCTCTGCAGACCTGGTTTTCAACAACAGGACCTTTTCCATTTTTTAAAACAATCTTTAGAGCTCACTCTTCAGACAGCCTTGTACCCTAGCTGCTTAGGCAAAGCAAAGAGAGAAAATACATCGATCTAGAATAGATATGCACTGGTCTGCCCTCCTGAACAGCCTACCATACATAAAAATGACCTTCCCAACACGCTGTCCAGTTTATGGTACCCCATACCCTGCCGCTGCTACCAGCAAACTCTCGACAGCACACCTTCCACAGTAACAACTGTTCTACTAGCCAACAACATATTCCTGCTCAAAATTTGGTAAAACACTGTGTCTCCTTTAAATTTAGTGCTTTATCTGCAATTCATATGGTATTTTACAGTGTGAAAGCAAGCTGGCTGAAGTACTCTGTTGCTGATCTACATGGCACTTTTTTCCTAGTGCTGCCAAAGCACCAGAAAGCTCCGTATCTCGGGGACATCCCGAGTCCTTATCTGCTCACATAACCACGCTATTTCATTTCGGTCTTGCTGTCTGAAAAAAAAGCTGATCTAAAAACTCCCTTGGATCTACCTAAACTAGTGAAAATCTGTGCATGTACAGGAGGGCAAAACAGCGGCCTGGTTTCTGAGGCAGCGTACGCTTCTCCAGCGGCAGGAACGGGACTGCTGCCGCCGGCTTCAGCTGCAGGGAAAGTAAATGAAAATAAGTAACAAAACAAATAATCAGCAAATGATAAATCATGCTCATGAAGCTACAAATTTACGCTCCAGTTCTTCTAAATCTGTTTTGCGAACAGCAGATCAAACACTGTTCTGTGTTAATACTTACCAGCACAAACAGAAGAATGCTCCGAGTTCAAATCTATACTATTCTGAAATAAATTCCTTGAAGCTCTTTTTCTACTAAAAAATAACTCATCGATGACCGGTACTCCTTGAGAGGGCCTTAACTTTGGAGAGTGAAGAAAATCACTGGATGCAGAGAACTGCAGGGAAAAGGCAAACAAAGAAACAGAGGCGTGTGAGAAGCGAATGCACAGCAGCAGGACCCGTGGACCTCTGCCGTGGAGACCCCACCGCGGCCCAGACCCGTCTCTCTTTACAACACAACCCACTGTCACCATGCTTTAGGAGACAGGACTGGCAGAAAACAAAGGTTTTTCTTCCCTATCACTCAGACAACGAAAAGCAAGAGTGTGTGTATGGGAGCCCCATCTTTCTCCCCCGGGACCACGGGGCTTCACCACGCACACACCCACCGACCGCTTACGGAGTGAGGGGAGCAGAGAAGCTTCCACTGAGCACCTCAACTTCTCGACACAATCTGCCAAAGCCTCCTTTGCTAATCAAAGGCAGTCGGTTTTTAAATGCAAAAACATTCTGATGGAAGTTTTATTTTCCCAGTTACCCAACAGCAGCAAGCTTTTCCACTGGTTTCCAGGGCTTACTCCAACACAGGCTGACACTGTTCACACTGAAGGGGAAAAAACCCAACAAAACGAAGTGGGAAAGAACTGTACTAGTCATCAGTTTTAAAAACTAAACATTAACATTATGAGTTGTGTACATCAGCTATCTCGGAGTTTAAATAGGCAGCAGTGAAATAGGAGGAGTGAAAAAAGCATGATTCAGATTCAGTCTAAAAGCTGTATCTGGTAGTATCAGCACCTCGTAATGAGAACTGGTTATAGGTAAAGGAAAAAATCTGAATAACAGAAATACTTAGCAAAGAATAGAACAGAATAGAACAGAACAGAATAGAATAGAACAGAACAGAACAGAATAATTTAGGTTGAAAAGGACCTTTAAGATCATCGAGTCCAGCCATTAACCTAACGCTGCCAAGTCCACCAATAAACTGTGTCCCTAAGCACCACAGCTACATGTCTCTTAAATAGCTCCAGGATTGGTGACTCAGATCATGCTTTAAATAAAGGTTTCTTGCTTTCTGATTTAATTAGTAAAATCAGTAATTTAAATCATTTCCAGGCATTAACTGCACTCTCCGCTTTCATAGACAAGCCTCCACACAGAAATGGCAATATTTATTCAGTATTAGAAAGAACAGTGTCGTGTTAAGACTAGAAACCTTCTTTACTCAATATACTGGTTGTGTGAATGGAGAATTTGTAGTCTAGCACATACATGGTACACTCGTTTATAAAAATATTTATTTTTTGATCTCACTGAGGATCTCAGTTCACCGTAAAGATGGATTCTCAAACTGGCAACTTCACAAAAACCCTTGCGGTATGAAACTGCAGTTCTCCATTAGCCCATAATCCAATTACCTGCTCAGCTCACAGCCTGGCCCACACAATGCCAGCCGTGTTTGACAGGGAGAAACCCGACAGCAGCAAACTCCGCACACCCACGGCACAGCCGTGCTGCGCCTGGGCGGACGCAGACACGGGCTCTGCTAAAGGTTCCAGGCACCGGGATAAACCTCGTGGCAATTTAACAGGTCACAATGTCTCCAAAGTTAAATGACTGGGGCAAATAAAACAGCACCTAGATGCTCTGACTGAACATCCTGATGGAGTTTAATTTAGTATTTCATTTAATACCGCAATGGGTTTCACAAAAGCATCACAAGATAAACCAGCAGCCAATAAATCAGCGCCGCAGCAACGAGCCTGCATTTCCATTTAGTGCTTCGGAACGCCAGCCCGCTGCCCACGGGAGAGCTGCTCACCCCTGCGCGGAGCGCCGAGCTACGTGGGCACGGGCTCTCGAATGAAACAGCCTCCCTGTTCCTGGGAGGGGTTTTGTGGTTAACAAAAACGGTAAAAATTTCATCTTTACTCACAGAAATGCAGTTTCCAATTTACCGTTACGCACTGCGTTCCGGGGGCTCCAAGTTCAGCAGAGACGATTACAGTCACTGCACAAGTGAAGTCTCGAGCGTGCAGCATTTCAAACAGATCCACCAAACTGCTCAAAAGCTTGAGGCTTGACATAAACCTTCCTCCCTGAAAGCCACAGCGAACGCAGGACCGTACTTTTTAATAGGCCTTCAGGGATTAGACTCTCCCTTTAAATATTTGTAGACAACTGCTTAAGGCATATGACAGCGAGAGGGAGCACTTCAGGAGCCTAAATACAACGTGGGCCATCTGAATCCCATTTTTAACAGGAGGCAGCAGAAGGAATCCAGCAGGTCTGCACTGCTTTCCTAATCCCCGAGCAGGAAACATGAAGCTTTGGAACGAACAGGACACCGGCTCCGATCGCTGGACATACCTCAGCAGCAACGACTTGAATCCCAGCAGTCGTACCGGCAACGCTCAGCGCTGTGCTGGCTTTTTACCACCCAGGCACCCCGAGGGACACTAATGTTACCTTCAGTGAGGAGAAGAACAGCGGCCAAATGGGTAACGTGGTTCGTTCCAGGTGATTACAAGTCAGGATAAAGGAGGAGATGAGAGCTTGGCATTCCCGCCATCAGCTGGCTAGAA